AACGGAGATGATTAATTAACAACATTCGCAAACCGTTGTTTTATTTCCTGTAGGCCAAATACGCCTCATCTTAGGATTTCACCTGAAGAATATGAGAAACAACTTGGATGCTACAGCATTGAAAGCAGAAATCATGCGAATAATCTGTCTACTATACTGATATAGAATGTCTACAATGATCAGCAGGCACTACCTGAAAAGATAAGCGAAGCATAACCTGCACATCTCCCTGTTTGGTACTAACTTGGCCAAGTAGATACCAGGTGGAACCCAATTCAGTAATCACCTTGAAGATCATCCGCCCCTGTAGATATTGTTAGTCTAATATGTGTCAGTCATTGCAGATACCTGGCCCCTTTCAGGGGACATTAGTATTCACATTTACCTATTTCCACTAAGGTCCACTAGAAGCTTACGCTGAGGGTTAATGATTTAGACATTACACCGATAGGGACAAGAGTTTGGGTACAGCGACTGTTGCAGTCAAGGAACATGTACATGATATTTTCAGTGATGAGGTTCCTGGTGAGGATCGTCATTGTAGGGCTCCAGGTGCCCTTGTTGGAGGGTGTGTTGAGTGGCACCGAAGGGTTGTTATGGCGAGAAGGGGTCATTGCGTGCATTTGATTAGTATAGATATATTGAGAGGTGTAAAATGTTGGCAACTGACACTCGTTGTGTCTGCGGATCATTGTAGTGGACTAACAGACAAATGGGATGATGCTTGCACAGTTTGCAATTGGAAATGCTAAGACGGTCTACACTCATCCATAGCCCTCGCGTCGGGAGAACAACACGGTATCTCGGTCCGCTACCGATTACGCCTATCTCTCCGTGATCTTGATCTTCGTTGTCAATCCTCCTACCACTGGATAGCTATCGAAGCTGACTGGCGGCAACTGCGGCACGCCTGCTATTTCTCTCGCGCATCAACTTCGTGCGTTCCTATCAGTCTATGGTGCGCTATCCCACTGGCATGGATCATGAGAACAGAAGACGTAGAGAGGACTTCGAAGATGATAGGCAAGGCAGCTGCAGGACTTGCCTCCATCCTCTCGTCACGATCTGTGGCTTCTTGTGGTCCCTTTCTCCATTGGGAAAATATATCCTGTATAGGAATCCATTGGCCAAACCAGCCCGGCTCATGAGTCTAGATCCGAGCCGGTTTTGGGAGGTATGATCAGCTGGATTCCGGTTTCCTGTCCCGATTGATCAGCCGGCATTATCGGGATGCAAGACGTGCAGGTCTTTGAACATAGAATCATGATTGCTTCCCGACACTATTAATGAGATGCCTGTAATAGTGTTCAGGAAGAGTACGTCCATTGGTTCTCTGGAAATGCTATCTCCTATCTGGCGCTAGAGCAGATGCATGTTTTGCTTCCCATGACGGCTCGGGTCCTAAGCACTCCGCTGATTATACCCCGGACTTGGCATGTCAAGGCTTCATTTGATCTATAAGTATCGAGATGAGATCGCGGATAGATACAATTTTAAAACTCAACAGAATCAATCGCACGCGAATTGACACTGTCATTCATCGTCTAACTCTCTCTACACACATTGATCTCATATCAAATCACAACCCACACAATGGCCCCAGCAGCCCTCGTCTCAACCTACACCCCACCCCCGGTGTCCGGGCCCAAAACGAAGAAGGCTACACGCCCCACCAAGAAGCTCCCTCAGTCCCTCGTCGAAGGCGCTAAGGTTCCCCAGAAGCGTAGCTTCGACCCAAGCGAGCACTTGGCCTACCAATCCCCGGAGAAGATCCACAAGATGGCTGAATTTGGCCTCGAGAGAGCGGGCATCTCTCCCAACGCTATCTCAGAGCCTTTTCGTCTGTTCACAGCCGAAGCAATTAGGCAAATGCGCGCTGAGATCTTCAGCGAGCCTGTGCTGAAGGACTGTCAGTATGCAAGCGATTTCTGCGCAAGCATGGTTAGGGGCATGGGACACAAGTAAGCTTACACCTTTCTGAACAACCTAGCTCCATCCTATTGAACTAATGATTATAACTAGGCGGGCCCCTTTCACCTACGACGTATGGAAGTCTCCAGAAGTCCTTTCCAAAATCTCCGCCATCGCCGGCATCGACCTAATCCCAGCCTTCGACTACGAAATCGCGAACATCAATGTCGCCATCAAAGATGACGAACCACCTTCGTCCCAAGCCAGCAACTCTTCCACCAAACCCCCCGGAGATGACGATGCCCCGGCATTCGCCTGGCACTACGACTCCTTCCCCTTCGTCTGTGTAGTCATGCTTTCCGACTGCACCTCTATGGTCGGCGGAGAAACAGCTATCAGACTCCCCAACGGAACTATCAAGAAGGTTCGTGGTCCCGCACAGGGCTACGCGGTTGTCATGCAGGGTCGGTACCTCGAGCACCAGGCTTTGAAGGCTGTTGGTGGCCGAGAGCGAATTACCATGGTGACGCCGTTCCGGCCTAAGAGCGCAGAGGTGCGCGATGAGATTTTGCTCACTGGTACTCGGGCTATCAGCAATCTAGAGGAGATGTATCCCCAGTATGTCGAGTACCGCATGGAGGTTCTCGAGGAGAGGGTGCGGGCACAGCGCAAGAGGGAGAGGGAGCGGGATCTTACTGGACGGCCGTTTAATGTGGAGGAGACAAGGAAGTGGGTGGAGGAACAGAGGGACTTTTTGGATAGTATTCTGAACGAGATGGTTGTTGTTGAGTAGCAATCGGGTCATGATGAATTTGCGGTATTACGTTGGAGCGAAGCGCGTGGTGATGGGATCAGAATGCATGGAGGAAGATGGCGATCTATGGTACTCTATTTGGCCTTATGACATCAATGAGAATATGATGTTATTTGTTCTGATTAAAACCAATATATCTATGGCAACTGTGATCGTAGCGCCTCAGGGGTAGATAGGTCACCCTTAGATCTTACGCCTTTAGCATATCTTCCAACACCTCGGCAGGGGTCCGTCTCGGAGGAGCAATAGCCAGAACCTCCTTGCTAGTAGTCGAAGCATTGCACTTCCCTTCCCACACGGTTATCGGGGCATACTTGATTGACTTGATTACAGCCATGGAATGACCCGATCCTTCATATTGACTCTCCAGCATTGCATCCAGAAGGCTGAGATCTTCATAGGCCACCTCCTTCACCTTCGTGCCAATATGCTGCTCCACTAGGCCGACAAGCTGTTCGCCAGTGATATCTTCCGGTCCATTCAAGACATATTTCGCCCCGCTGTGCGGGCTCGGATTATCCAAGGCCAAGAGATGAGCAGCAAACACACCGACTTCATCCGGGTCGATAGGCGCAATAGGGGCATCTTTGGATACCATCAAACTCAAAGGACCTAGTTCGCCATTCCGCTTAAACTCCTTGATGTACTCAACGGTAAAAGCCATAAGGGAGTTTGTAAACCCGTTCGGCTGAAGGGAAGTCCATTTCAGGGCGCTGAATTCCGCCGAGCCAAGCATCGCCTCAATAGCCCAGTGCGCGCGCGGATAGTAGGCAGCGCAATCGGGACGAACATTCGGTGCGGAGGTGGAAATACGCACAACGTATTTGACACCAGCTCCAAGGGCGGCGACGTGGAAGGCAGACTCTTCGGCAAACTGGTTTGGTGCGTTGTGAGAGGCAATGAAGGCCCTGACGACTTCATTCTCTCGGAGCCAGTCCGAGGTAATCTCGGTCCAGTTCTGCTCGATGATTTCGACACCGGGAATTTTTGCAAGCCGTTCGGCTGAGGAGCTATTGAGGGATCTGGTCAGGGCGAGTACCCGATGGCTCTTGAAAGCCTCGTTGGTTTTCAGAAGTTTTGGGAGAGTCTCTGTCACGGCTCGGCCGGTATTGCCTGTTGCGCCGACGATGAGGATAGTTGGAGCCATGTTGGTAGTCAAATGAGAGTTGTGTGGATGAATGATACCGTTTGGAAGATAGATACGAGGATCATCTTCAGGGTATTTAAATTTCGAAGTCATTTCATTAAATCATACATGATTACTATTATGATTAGAAATTGGGAATTCTATTTGTGAGCATCCCTTCGCAGTGATCTTTGATTCGGGTGGAGGCTCCGGAGGTGGGAGGGCCGAAATGTCGGAGCTCCCACCCCGTGCATGTGTACCCAGACTCAAGGACTAGTACTTCGGATTTAATCATCTTTTCTCTCTTTGGCCACTAGGCGTGAAATAGAGTGCATAAGAGTGGATAACATCCAACAATATAAGACGCTGGGGTGTGTCCTGCGCCTACTAGTAGTCAGTATGGTCGGAATGGGCTCGAATTTTCCCTTCTCAGAAACTTAAACTGACATTAGTCCTTTCCAAATACACTATTGAGGTGTTTCAATTATGAGTCTAAATTGTTGGACATTATATCCTCGTATTAATAATGTAGTCCGAACAGATAAATGAACCTGTGGCAACCTGGAAAAGACGCACACGACTGTAGTATTTGTGGTCCCCGAGCGTTTTCTGTCTGTGAAAATAAAATGTTTGCGACCGAGCCAACGCAACTGGCAGCAGACTCAGAAAGCACGCATTGAACTACGTAGTGGTATTCAATAAGACTCATTGATGGTTCTTTCCAGGGGAAATCCAGGGTTCGACAAGTCGGTTCTAACCTTTTCGGACACACACTGACTAATCGTGCCATTATGGGTGGGCCCGAAAGAGAGGGAGCAGTCCCCTCAACTCCCTCATTGTACACCCTTTACTCTCTGAATCCCCCAGTCAAAATAGCAGCATGCCCCCTAAGTTATACTGGTGCCAAGTGTCTCATTGCAAGGCAAGCTATCAGCGGAAAGAACATCTTCGTCGCCACGAGGCGCAACATACCCAACAGCAGCTTCGACAATGTCCAGCTTGTGCTCAGAAGTTCAGGCGGAGGTACAAAAGGATCCTCACCTTTTCGTTATTTATGTGGGGAGATATTGCTAATTCTCCAAATCAGCGATACGTTACGGCGACACATGCAAAATATACATGGAATGAACGACATGCCCGACATCAAACATGCTTGCGCCCACTGCCGGAAGCAAAAGTCTCGATGCCAAGGAGGACCACCATGTAAGAATTGTCTGCGCCGCGGAATCCACTGTTCCCTTGAACGCCGGGTGGGAGCACGGCAGGTTGATCACCAGCGTGACATTGCAAGGATGTCTCAATCTCCTCCTACCCAACCTGCGACGGACGACTCTGATCAAGAAAGACACTTTATAAACATATATTTCAACAGATTCCATCCTCGGTGGCCTTTTGTTCATCGAGGGTCTTTCAGTGATCATGAAGCACCATTATTGATCAAGTCAATGCTTGTTCTTGGTCTGTGGCTAAGCAAGGAACGGAAAGCCCACTCGAAAGCCATTGACCTGCACAATTTCCTGGGCTCGGCCATACGTCAGCAGACTGTACGTAGGAAGCTCTCGCCTGACCATAACTCTGCCAGCTAACGTCGAAGTTAACAGGAGGCATGGGATGCCTCTGTAGCAGATGCAAGTAGTACTTGTAAATGGCCCATCGCGACATATCAGGCAATCCTGCTCCATCTAATATTCGCCGCTTTATATCGGGGCGGTGGGGAGCTCGACCTTGACCTGAAGCCTTCCCTTGCTCCTGCAGATGTCGACCTTCTAGAAAGGCTTGTCATAAGCTGCAAGAAGCTCGGAATGTTCTACTACCCAAACATACTGCAGCATTATTGCGACAGTATTCTGCCTGGATATACATGGGTAACTATTGAGGAGGTGAAGAGGTTTGACCTGGCCTTATTCAAAGTCTGTGGAGCGTTTAGTATCTTAGGCAAAGGGGAGGATAGAACGGGTAACTTAGACGGAAGGATCCGTGCATGCGACTTACAATTTCCACCACCCAGGAATACGCCGTTGTGGAATGCTGTAACGAAAGAAGAGTGGGAATCCGCAGCGACAGCGGATATGGACCCCCATAGCCTGGATGACCCTTTGCCTCTACAATGGATCTCTAATTCTGCAGAGATTGTGGAACTTATTGCTACAGGGTCTCCTGGATTATTTTGATTACGAAATCATAAACATGGACCATGCCACAACCGAAGGGTTGAGATGTAAGTGTATGGAGTTCAGACGTGGTAAATGATAATATGTAAGAACGTTGTTCACAAAGACTGTATCCTATGATTCTACCCAGGGAAAGGTAGCGGTCGCAACGTATCTGCTCTAACATGATTATGTCTAATATTCTCCGTCGAATGATAAGGACACTCAACTCGTTTCCGGTGATTTTAGGTGGAACATGACGGGTGGTCGAACTGTACCGCCTCTAAGAGAGCACACTACTTGAAGGAATTCATAGATGAAGCCCGCCGGGCCTCAATAACAAGGGTTAAAGACTATTATTGATGTCCTAGAGGATGTCAAAGTAACATTGAGGGGATACTAATGATGTTTTCCTTCGATAAACAAAACGAACAGACAATCGAGTCCTAGTCATCCCACAACCGTCTGTATCTCCAAAGCCAAACAAAGTCCGTCATATCCAACTCTAATTCCATCCTCCCAAACCATAAACCAAGTTTCAGCTGTCCATACTATCCAAGTATGTGACCGTTCAACCATCAATCCAGCTGAGTGGTATTAAACAAACGATTTCCGGTGTCAGTAGTTCCCTTTCCAGTGTACTTGTTCTTCGACACCCGGAGAGCGACAATGGTAACCTCCATTGATCGCGCGGCAGCACGAATGGCACTCCCGCCTTTGATGGCCTGCTCCTGCACGACGCCAGCAACAACAATGACACGAACAGCATCATTCAACTTCCTAACATGCTGTAAGAACTCCACGATGGACTTGCCACTGTTGATAACAGAGTCGACCAGGATCACAGTGACGATGCCCTCGAGATTCTCCCTCTTCACGTCGTGGGGGAACTTGGCGTGCAGGAGCTGGGCAGTTGGGAAGACCTCGTTAATACCGTTTGCCATGGGCAGCCCACCGCGCATCAGCGGCACGATCAACGTCTGGCCTTCGTTGAAAAGCCGGTATCCGTCTATGGGTTTGTTTTGAGGGTGGCGTACGGGGAAGGGCTCAAGTCCGATGATCTGTGCCAGGTATTTTGTGGACAGATAATGAGCAGCCTTCCTATGAGCATCCTGGAGGGCCGGCCCGCGGATGGCGTCGTCTCTCATAGGAGTACTCAACAACTTGGAAGCGTTATCGTCGGTCGCGTGGTAGAATTGAAACCAGCGGCAGAAGATCGAGCTCTGGATGTTTTCGTCTTCCAAATGGATCACAGGGAGTATGTTCGGGTCAAGCCGTGGTTTCAAAGAATTGTAGGGCAGCAAGACCTGCCTAGCGTGCAGCCCGTCATTGAGGATGGCATCACGTAAAGCGCCGTCCATGCTCTTGCTTCGCGTTTCTTCTTTACCCACCACAACAACCGCCTTGTCTGCAGCCATCATCATCGGCAAGTCAATAGGGCTGTCCCCGATCGCCCAGGTATGGGCTCCATGTACTTCTCTAGCACGAACAACCAAACTTCTCTTCACCCCAGGGGTAACCACCAATCCGTCGTTAATGCGGCCACCACCGATGACTTTAACAACATCAGCGAGACCTTCTCTCTCAATGACTTTCTCCCAGACGAGACGCAGGCCGCTGGTGACGATAACGGGACAAACGTGCTTGTGTTCGACCACCTTTTCAAGAAGCAAGGAAATCTGTGGATACAGCTTGACTTTACTTGCAATAGCGTTGCAGATAGAAAAGAAGTCATCATCCCAGGCCTCGGTTTCACAGTGCATCATAGCCTGTCTGAACGCGGCATATGAATACCCCATCTTGTTGAAGAGCCGTCGTAGCGGATTATGGGCGCCCTTAAGATCTTCCAACATCTTCCAGAAGGTTTCGCTGGTGTCGTCTTCCGAGAGCGTCTTGTCCGCATCAAGAAACAGGACAGTCTGAACGTCGTCGCTATGGTTAGACAGGATCTTGTCCAAACGATCGTTGGCAACAGCCATGTTATATTCCTCATCGTGACATTCAATATCATGAATGAAGGTCGACAGCTTACATCTCAAACCGGACCAAAGATAAGCCAACATAATGTTTTTATCCATGCAAAGAGAAGAAAGCTCTTTTATCTCGTAATTCTGCCACGCACACAAACGACTCTCCGACACACTTGGACGTAGTCTCTCGGTATCCTTTTTTCGTTGCTCTGTAATCATAAGCAGCGGAGTATTGAGGTACAAGATATGAGTGAAGGTATCCAAGTCATTCTCCGTGACGACCTTCATGGGCTGGTCACATCTTTCGTCGTCCCAAAAGCTGAGGTGGCCGGTAACGATCCCAACTTTCCTGGTCTTGCTGCAAGTCGATTTGATCTTCTGGATAGCCCGCTTGCGAAACTCGGCTTTTTCAGACTCATCCAGCTTCTTGAATGCATCCAGCCCGCCGGTAGTTACAGAGGCAATGACCTCAGATCCTTCAAAAAAAGCAAAGCGCTCCTCCCCGAGCTGCTGCTTTAGTCTGTTCATTAAAAAGGTCTTGCCAGCCCCCGGCACCCCGTATAGTCCGATGACCTTGGGGGCGGCCGCTGGGGGACACACGGGTACCATGGTAGGGCACTTCTCGTCTTCCGGTGAGGCGGACTTTTGCATTGTCCAATGAGATATAGTAGAAGAGGCTAAAGGTGAAGGGAAATAGAGACGAAGGGTAGTATGGTCGGATCTGGATAGAGGGCTATAGTTAAATAGAAGTGTAGGGTGTACCAATGACCTGTGACAATGAAATATCGCGTTTCTGGTCATGAGAGGTACCAGTAGAAGGAAAATAATTAAATTGGAGGTGTTGGGGGATTTTATAGGCAAGGAAAATCGTCGGTGCCTAGGTTCACTCAACGACAAATACTTTTTCACTAACAGTCTCGGCGCTCGAAATCTCTGACTCGTTGAATATAGGGACTCCGGGTCATTCCAGGAAGCTGCAGTTAACCGTTGCCTTCTTCTCATCATTGAATTGTGAATGGAGTGACCAGCGTTTTCAATACGGTACCTCCCACAGTCAAACCAATCGACTTCTATAATTTCTTTTAGCAAATGTAATGCTCTTATGCCGAAGTCTTGTATATAGAGGACCACATATTGGGTCTGGAACCCTTTTCCCTGCATAATATGGAGCAGTTTTATACAGTATTCTGATATATTTTGACTTCGTCTGAGGGCCGCATCATAGGAGACGAGCAGATATAATGCTCTAATGCTGTTGTTCTGTACATAGCGGGACACACATGGGGTCTAAAAGCGTTTTCCAAGCGCAAGAATGGGCGTTTTTATATATCCAGATATACTTGCAATTCCTCCGGACCTTAGTCGCACCACAAGTCACCAGTAGAACAAAGTCTATCATCGCATGAAAAGGATACATATAGTCAGCCCTGGTGATTATTCTTTGTCATTTCTATTTTGAGTCAACTTTCTGGGTCAAATCATGAACCTTCAAGGAGCTAAACACCTCAGTCAGTATGGATCACTTAGATTCGCCACAGGAGGAGTATATCACTCACCACACTACCCCACTCCGACCCAAACATAGATCAGGGAAGAACTGGCAATGCCCACAATAATCTTCTTCCAACCCTACCGAATTTTATCTTATCTATGCCATGTCTGTCTGCAACTTCATCCAATTTCGTACCCTTCCTCGGATTCACCACCTCCCTAACATTGCTCCAATCGTGCTTACCAGCGTAATACGCGGCCACACGATAGAAACACCATCGCGATGTGAACTTTCCCAGCATATAGGTAAAGGCTACTGTGTTATACGTCCGCGACCAAGCAGGGCGAAAAGCGATAGGAAATCCATCATGTTCAGCGCGAGATAATGTGAATAGGACGTCTGAGGTCTCGCTTAGTCGGGCCAGGGGTGTAGTTGCCTTGCGCCGCTCGGAAAGCTCTTCTATTAGTCGGCTCTCGTGCCACGAAATGTTGGATTGGCTGGGGAGGTTAAGGAATGTATGCCATTTTTGGCGTAACTTGATTGACATTCTGGTCTTGTCGCAGTGTATGCTTCTCATGAAATAGTCGAGTTCGAGGAATGGGTAGCGGAATGGTGCTTGGAATAAGAAAACTGTTTTTTGGGGTGGAGTGCAATGGCTTATCATAACTGCATGATGTAGGAAGGAAAGACTGATTTTATTGTGTTTAGAATGTTTCTATAAAGACGGTACAAAGGTGATGCCCTTATATGCGAACCAGGGCGTATCGAATTAACTGATCTTTTCAGAACCTTACTGATCTAGTGCAGGCAAGATCCGTGAACATCAAATCCATGTGAGTTGCCCACAGTCATTTTTTACATGAGTGAATGTGCACTTAATGATACATTCAATATTATGCACTACTAGTATTCATTGGCTCCTCCTTTGCTGCTTGTTTCACTGGATGCGGGGCTGAGCATTCCCCAACCCCACCTCATTTCACCCCATTTCACTTAGTCTGTCTTTGTTAAGGCTGTCACTACCAACCCCATCCTCGACCCCAACGTCTGCTTTCCTTTACAAATCCCTATCCAATTTTAATATACTTCGCTTGTTTGTGAAGGGCTAGCTAGCTATTTGGAGTTGCCTAAAAGGAAACAGTATCCACTCTACACCACGCATTTGGAACGGTATGCCTTTAGCGCTCGAAATTCGACAATTCATCCTCAGCTTCGAAAGCCGGTGGGACGGGTCAGTGAACACTGCTTGTCAGGACTTTTTTGAAGCCCGGCATTCATCTGCTGGCCCACTGAATCCAGATCATCCAATCAAGTATGAGAAGAATGTAAAGTACGGCCCAGATTCAAGGCATCGCTTGGATGTATTCTGGCCAGCAGATGCTATCTCAACCAACGCGGCTCTGCCTGTTGTCGTCTACTTTCATGGCGGTGCATTTAAGCTGGGCGACAATTCTATTACTCCGCACATGCACGCGAATATCGGTCGATTTTTCGCATCCCAGGGTATGATCGGCGTCTTGGGGACTTATCGGCTACTGCCAGAAGCTCGATTCCCAGAC